GAGATGTTTTCCATGGGAAGTGACAGGGGGGATCCAATTCAGAAAGCATCAGAGGAGAGGGGCAGAGGCACATGGTAAATCCTAAAGAAGCAGGTAGCACTGCTGGTCTTGAGTCCTGGCTCAACAGTACCCTGTCTGTATAACCTACCACTTTAAGAAAACTAGGAGTGAGCAGCCATGGAGCCTAGGGAATGACAGTATAGGGACAGCAGCTCTCCAGCTACACACTCCTCAGAGCCCCCGTGCAGCTCTTCACTCCCAGGCCTCTTTGCAATCCCTGGCGTGCCTGGTGTATGCTCCCTGGAGAAATGAGCTAGGACCATCACATGGATCATGGCTGTTCTCTGCTCATCACAGAAAGGCAGGGACAGGCTGAAATCCCAGGAGAAGGGCTTTCAACCACACAATACAGCTTATGCAGTATTTGGGTGGTGACCACAAGATGAAGGGGTTCCAACAACTCTTGACCATTATTGTCACTAAGGACTTGCAACAAACTTGTGGCTAACTTCCTGCTGCCTGCAAACAATGACCTGCCAAAAATAAACAACAGATGAACAAGAACCAAACACAGACACGCACCAGGAATATTACACAACCACTCGTGGCACACTGGGCAGCACAGTGTATTATCAAAGAAAACTGTCCCCACCCTGGACCTCCCCAACCTGCAGGAGACAAACAGAAAGCAGCTACCTTGCCAGGATTACATGAAAGCTGACCTCAGAATATCCTCAGCAGAGGCTTTTCCAGCAAGACAAAGCAAAGACTGCCACCAAATAGTTCCCAGGCATCTTCTAACACATCCTGTGTAGGATACTGTCACTTGGCCCAGAGATATTCATTTCTGTCCTTCTAGGAACCCTTCATGTGAGTGCTCAGAGACTGGGGAACTCAGGCTGAGGATCAGGGTAAACTAAAATCTGGTCTTTGACTTCAGCCTTGCTTCTTAAGACACAAAATGAACAGCCAGTTGACTCTGTTCCTCCAGTATTATGAAGGCTAGGTGGCTCGGGAAAATCTGCAGCAGTGCCTTAACCCATGGAGCATAAGCAAGGGACTCATCCCTGCAATATGTCTCCTTTCCCATTTGAATGACCAAAATGCAATGACATGAGTAAAAAGTAAAATAATGAGAGAATCTGCTAGATTCACTAAAAAGTAATGCTTACTTCCTCAAATTTATAATACCCCATTTCTCCATGCATTCCATTTAAACCTCTGATTTCTTTTAAATAACATCATTATTGAAAACTAACATTATGCTGCGAAGCTCTATTACTTGAATTGTTCATAAATGGATTTACGGCTGCCGCTGAGTCCTCTGAAAGACTGTATTGTAGGCATCCGCCCTCCATCTCCCCAAGAGCATTCATAAAGAGATTCCTACACCTACATTTGCCCTCCTGCAGAAAGCTGGGTATTTATACCTGGAAAAACTTTCACTTAAATTGCTTTAATGGGTTCTAAGTAAAACACTACTCCCAATAATTTATTTTTCCATTTGATTGGCCAAGGATTTGAATTATAGCTCACAGGGTAAGTTCATAAACAGTGCTGGCATCTGGGTGCTATAATGCCACATGACTTTGGGATTTCCATTTGCCTGTTCCTGAAGCACTCTTAGACAATGCACAGCTGTGCTGGTGTTACACAGCAGTGAGTCCGTCTCTTTTAGGCATCTCCTCATCTCCCCAACAAATTCAGCATCAGGACTAGGATCTCCTTTGTAGGCTCAACTGACAGGTAGACATGTTTTAGAGGGTAGCACAAGCTTCTCAGGCTTTGAAAACTTCTGACATTACACCATACTGAAATGATTTCAGAATGTCTCCCAGGTATGAATTCTCTGCACATGTCATCAATAAATATGTAATGCATGCTACCGTGTAAGTAGCAAGACTGTTAATGTTTTAATCCTCCTCCCTTGGAGTAGGATAGCAGCAAAAATAAATAAATCTCAAACCACAGTATTTTAATATATGCCTATAGGTACCAGAACACTTGATGAAGTAGGCAAACCAAAGCTGGTCCTCACAGCCATTAAGATGGCTGCTCCAACAAGAAAGAAATCAAGAAAATGACAAATATTGGCAAAGACATCAAGAAACTGAAACTCTGGTGCACTGTTGCTGACACTGTAAAATGTGTCAGATAGGAGGGAGCACAGAGGCTCCTGAAAACTAAACACGGAGCAATGAAATGATACGGCGGTGCCACTTCTGAGTACCTATGCCAAAGAACTGAAAGCCAGCTCTCGGGGAGGTAAGCTTCATGCCCACGTTCACAGCAACAAGATTCACGACAGCCAGGTCTTGGGAGAAACCAAGACACCACGGACAGAATGAGCAAAATACAGCCTATACATACAAAGGAATGTCGGCCAGCCTTAAAAAGAAAGGACATTTGGTCGCTGCTCCAGCATGGAGGAACCTGGAAGAGACCAGGCCAGTCACAAAGACACCTACTGTACCATCCCACCTGCAAGAGGCGGTTTTTAAAGTAGTCAGACTGATAGAAACAGAAAGTGGAGTGGGGGATGCTAAGGGCTGGAGGGGGAAATGGGAAGTTGTTGTTTCATGGGCGGAGAGTTTCAGTTTTGCAAGATGAAAAAACAAGTTCCAGAGGCCAGTTTCACAAAACTCTGACTATATTTACCACCACTGAACTCTATGCTTAAAGATGGTTATGGTGGTAAGTTTTTATGTTAGATGCCATTTCTCAAAATAAATAAGTCAATAAATAAATAACTGAAAAATTTTAAGAAGAGCACCCAACATTTCATTGATTGCTTTAAAGAAATTATGATGGGGAGGGGTGGGATAAAACTCTTGATTCTTACAAAAATCATGACAATTCCACATGAAAATGCTATCCATCAAGGGGTCCATCAATGCTGTCCATCCTAGGTAACGGTAGCATCATTCCTGAGCTTTCCATAGCCAAACGGCCCGTAGATTCATCTCTAAATTGGATCTTCATCTACACAAGAAAATACAGAACCAGTAAAGCACAAAAATTGAGCATTAAATAAAATTAAGTCTCTGGAAAGAGAACAAGTTTGATTTTTAAAGTAAACATCATCATTCTGTCTGCCCAGTGCACTAAAATCTCTGGAAGCTTTTAACAGCAGCAGGACCCTAATTGCATAACCTTGTTTTCAATGAGTGGATGAAATTATGCTATAATTTTACTTATTACAAGAACGTACCAGGAGCATGATGCCACCCACCTCCCCATCATCCATCTGCCTCCCCTGTTGGCTAGTTAAGATGCCACGGCTCTCTGCCCACCCTGAGTACCTATGCTTACCCTCCACAGGGGGTACCCTCCCTCTGTGATTTGCTTCCCATGGCCTGATTACACCACCTGACTTCCAGCTTCCAGTCCTGCAGAAGCTCAGGGAACTTCCCTCCCCCTCCTATCTCTCTCCACACCCACACCTCTTCCTCATTAGGATCAATTCCTATATGCACTTATCCTTCACAGCCAATCTTCCAGGTCAATCCAACACTTTTCTCTGCTACAACAAACTCGAGTCCACTATCCACTTGGAAGAGGTGGCCGAGGTGGGAGACCACCGTACAACCACGACCTGACTTATTCCATTTCCCTCTGAGAGTAGGAGTCATCCTGCACGTGGCAGAGAGAGAGAAGCTCTGGGCTGGTTTCAGTCTGCTTCATTTCCCTCCCGTTCTCAAGGACTTTTGCACGTGGGCTCTAGAGCCAATTCAATTCCCAGCTTTGCCTATTCCTCGCCGTGTGACTCCATGGAAACTATCTAAACACTCGAAGCTTTAATGGCAGCATCAATACAATGCAGAAAATAACAGTACTTGCCATACAAGTTGGTGTTTGACATATTATTTGACCCAAAATTTTTGCTTCTAGCAATTTCTACTATAATAACTAGATATTCACATAAAGTACTTAAGCGGAAGGATGTTCAAGCCAGCACTACTTCTAATCATGAAAAATGGGGAAGAGAGGGTACAACAGAGGGTCAACTAAAGTTTAAATAAATGACAAAACAAAGCCCAGTTTGGTGGCACATGCCTGTAGTCCTAGTTACTTGGGAGGCTTGAGCCCATACATTTGAGACCAGCCTGAGCAATAATAATAAGACCCCATGTCAGGAATGTAAATTTATATATATATATATATATATATATATATATATCATAAGATAGAATATTCTATATCCATTGTACTATGCCTTATGGAAAAATATTTAAGAACATACTTGTACATGTAAAAAAGCAGGGTAAAACTATGTATTACTTTTACACAAGAAACAGGGGAAGGTGAATTTTTGAAAAGGTTCATCTTATATTTGCAAGCAGTTTCTGCCAGGCCCCATCCCAGAACCCTAATTTTCACATACACAAAACGCTCCAGTATTTTCCAAGACTTCTTTCATAAACCAAACTCTAAAGCAACCCCTGGATTTGCAGCTGATCCCAAAAAACTCAGATGGAAATTATTTTCATTCCATTCAACAAGTAGCGTTTCACCCAGCCAGGAGATTCCTAGTGGGTGGGAGAAGAACTATAGTTAGTAACCATAACCTTACGTTAAAAATTAATAGCTACCATATTCAACAAAACAGCAGTTTAAACCTGTATTGAAATCATGCTAAAAACAGCTCCACTCCTGTGCCAATTATCTCTCCCAGTGGGAGACTTTCAGGTTCAACTTGAAGTTGGTGGAGTTCCTTCCCATCATTATTAAGGAATGGAGTGGGGAAAGAAAGAATCTACAACAAACTATCCTGTACAGGAAAATTAGGTCCCTGATAGAATGTGACCCCCAGAAATCCCAAAACATCCTCTCAATGATTACAGCAGTCTCTCCACTGTTAGTTCTGATGGTCTCCACTTTTAGTTATGAATGATGAATGAAAGACCACAAATAAATGACCAGACCGACATTGGAGTGTCCCTCCCATGCAGCCGTTTCCACAGGTAGACTTCCATGTGTGCAGTAGTTTATTTATTAATTGAGGGTGCTGGGGATCAAGCCCAGGGCCTCGTGCATGGCAGACAAGCACTCTTCCAACTGAGTTACACCCTCAGCACAAAAGGAGCTGTTTTAGTCAGCTGAAATTGTGACAGAAACAATAATGTACCTTGGTGTAGGGGCATATCAGCAGTCAGCACAAAACAAAATTAGCAGTAGCATCGGCTCCTTGTACTCAATTGATAAAACTGACCACTTTGCCACCACCACCCACCCTCACTAAGCCTGCACTGTCCAAAAACCCCTAGTCAAGTATGCCTATTGAGTACTTGAAATGCACCTACTCCAACGAGATTGCTCCAGGCAAAAGACACACGCCAAATTCAGGAAGATGGATGCCAAGAACATTAATGCAAACTATTTCCTTTTTATATTGATTACATATTATGATAACATTATGATACATTCAGTAACATTAAAATGTATTATTTAAATTAGCTTTCCTTGTTTCCTCTTGCTTTTTACAGTGTGGCTTCTTAAAAAAAAATGTATGATTCAATGCATGTGCCTTGCTGTTTCCCACTGTTACACCGTCACATTGTTCATTTTCTCTGAAGCAGGTGCGACCGACTGAAATGACCCTGTCTGCTTCTGGGGTTGTCTCACCCATCATGACTCTCCCCCTACCACCAAC